TGTATCTATCTATATAAATATAATAGTACTGTCTGATGTCTGTCCATGTAACTACTTCTATGTAAATATAATAGTACTGTCTGTTGTATCTATCTATATAAATATAATAGTACTGTCTGATGTCTGTCCATGTAACTACTTCTATGTAAATATAATAGTACTGTCTGTTGTCTGTCCATGTAACTACTTCACATGGTGTAGATGGGGTTCATTGGGTCAATGGGGAGATACATACAAATGTTCAGTTTTGTGTTTTTTTATGGGTTTTTTTTACCACTACTTCGCCCCCTGGTGATGAATCTTCACCAAACGTTTGTTGGGTCCATGGGGAGATACATGCAAACTTGGGATTTCACATTTTGTTTTGCAATTTTCATGAAAATTTTTTACAATTACATATAAGGGAAGCAACTTTTCATGTCCAAATATAACCTTTCAGTAATTCTGAATTTATATAATTTTTGACCAGAGGACGAGTACAACAGCTAGTGTAAAATATATAAGAAACAAATCGACTTTTAAATAAGACCTTTGCAGTACCTTATTTAGTATTCTACAAAAGGTTTGGGTCCAATATACCAAGTCATTTTTGTTGTAAGCCGGCAAAAGTATAATAATAATATAAAGAAGAGTCCTGGAGTAGATTTTCTTTTCCTTGTAAGTCTAACATGAGTTGTTTTTTTTTATATATAATAGTTAGAATGGACTTATTCACTAGCTGGGTACTCTCGCTGTTAATGGTATTGTCGGCCGTAATCCCAATAATAATTTCTTACAAGGTTCGAGTATTAGGATACCGTTAGTCCTAAAATAAAATAATAATCTTACAATGCAAAATATTCATAATAATAACAAACGTATAACAGAAATATGAATATATATAATGAAACTAACGGTAAAGAAAGCATTTGTTTTGGAAAGTTGTGCAAAGCTACATAAGAGCTATTTGTGCTAGCTGTCTCTAAGTTTAAATTGATAGGCTAGGGGAAGGCAGCACCAACTCTAATCAAATAGAGGAATTAGACAGTCACTCTTATAATGCACCTTCAGTCCCGACATGTGAAACATAATGCTGTGACAGAAGGATCCAAACCATGAGACCTTGGATTTAGTCTGCCACGCTGAACACTAAAACTTGCCCGGCCCGTTAAAGTAAAAGTAGACTATAATTTAAAAGTTGTTTTAGTTAATTTGTTCACTTTCTGTCTTAAAGTATTTACTTATACTGGGTCTTCTGCTTTAGTAAACAGAAAGACCCAATACTTAGAAGTTTAAAGCAGGAAAGAACAGTAGAGAAATCTGCTTTAGTATTTCTCTACTGTTCTTTTCTGCTTTAAACTTCTATTTATTGGGTCTTTCTGCTTTAGTATTTCTTTACTGTTCTTTCCTGCTTTAAACTTCTATTTATTGGGACTTTCTGCTTTAGTATTTCTCTATTGTTCTTTTCTGCTTTAAACTTCTATTTATTGGGTCTTTCTGCTTTAGTATTTCTTTACTGTTCTTTCCTGCTTTAAACTTCTATTTATTGGGTCTTTCTGCTTTAGTATTTCTCTATTGTTTTTTCCTGCTTTAAACTTCTATTTATTGGGTCTTTCTGCTTTAGTATTTCTCTATTGTTTTTTCCTGCTTTAAACTTCTATTTATTGGGTCTTTCTGCTTTAGTGTTTCTATACTGTTCCTTCCTGCTCTAAAATTCTATTTATTGTCTTTCTTGTAATTAAGCACAAAGCTACACAGTGGGTATCGAAACCGGGTTTATAGCTTTGTAAGTCTGCAGACATACTGCTATGTCTTTTTTTGGGGGGGGGGGAGCTCCTTAAAGTGCATAATATTTTATATTGTTACATTCTGTTTCATATGTAAATTGAATTGATGGCTACTCACTTTAAATAACTAGAAAATTCTTGCAGCTTACTGTTGTCATGCCAACACACCAGGAATATAAAAAAACAAAAAATCTCTGCATTTGAAGCGTATGTATACAGAGCATTACAAATATATTCAAAAGAGGAAGATTTGGGTAACAAATTATTATTAATTAAATATGTAGCTGTTGAAAGAGAATTTGAACGAAGGTTTTGCAGGTTTTATGTTTACTTTCAATAAAATAACTAACGGTTTGAGTAACTTTCCTTCCACATGTAACACAAACAACTGTATTATATACTTCTATAATGTGTTGAGTTTACTGTAAGCTGCAGGTTTTATGTTTAGTTTCAATAAAACAACTAACGGTTTGAGTAACTTTCCTTCCATATGTAACACAAACAACCTGTATTATATACTTCCAAATTGTATTGAGTTTACTGTCAGCTGCAGGTTTCATGTTTAGTTCCAGTAAAACAACTAATAGTTTGAGTAACTTTCCTTCCATATGTAACACAAACAGCTGTATTATATACTTCCAAATTGTATTGAGTTTACTGTCAGCTGCAGGTTTCATGTTTAGTTCCAGTAAAACAACTAA